GTCGCCCCGACAGCCCCGGGCCGCAGGCGCGGGCGGTTGGCAGCGCGGGCGGCGAGGTGGTGCAGCGGTACAGCAAGGAGAAGAGGGATGCCATCTCGCTGGCCATCAAAGACATCAAGGAGGCCATCGAGGAGGTGAAAACCAGGACCATCCGTTCGCCTTACACCCCCGACGAGCCCAAAGAGCCCATCTGGGTCATGCGCCAGGACATTAGTCCCACCAGGGATTGTGACGACCAGAGGCCGGTGGATGGAGATGTAAGTGTGTGCGGGTTCGGGCTTGCTCAACATCACGCTTGGCCAGGCCAGGAGGGGAGACGGGCGCTGGGTGGCCTCGTTTGTCATTGGGAAATGACTTGATGAGATGGATGATCTGTGGGGATGCTAAAAAAATGTGTCCACCTTAAGCCTCAGAAACAGCTTGCACTTAAGCGATCGTGAGTGAAACACAGGTGGGAGGGAATTAAGTGTCGAGAGGTTGCTGTAAATTAGTGGTTTTCAAACTTCCTGGAGCATTTGTTCAGAAATTGATTTCCAGGCGCACCACTCCCCATCCCCCAGTTTCCCACTTAGAAGTTATAGGCCGTGGCCTGACGTCAAATAAAAAGAAAAGGAAAAGAAAACGAGTCTGGATTGAGTAAGGAGAGACTTTATTGGAAAGGATTATTGAAAGAAGAAAAGGCACTGTTGTAACAGGGGGATGGGGACTGTTGCAGTAGCAGAACCTCTGACTGTAAGAACTGCAAGTCTCTAGGGTTAGGCAAAAGGGGGGTTCTTTTATAGGGAGGAATAAGCAAAGCTAGAAAGAACAAGGTGTGAGGACATGGGATGAAAGCATAGCTGGAATGCGTTGCCCACGAGAGAGTGTTTTAACCTGAGCCCAGCCTATTCCCAGGACGGGCTGTTAAAGGAGGGATTGTTGTATGGCCAAAACTCAGGGACCTGGAAGAAGGCGAGAAGCTTAATCAAATGCTAGTTAATAAGCATTTTGTTCTGATCAGTCAGCAGTTCAGCTAATCATTTGTCTTGGAGGGTCTGTGTCTGGCCTCATCATAGGTAAATGAGGGGGCACCTGTGAGTTTCTCAAGTCTTTTGGGAAGGGAGATTCTTTGTATAAGCCTTTTCCAGAACACAAAAGGGGTGGGGATTCCTTAACCTTTGCTGTTTTCCCGAATCTCAGGGCTCAGGTGAAGTTCAGCATTATCACTAGTTAGTTCCCAGCTAATGCTGCTGGTCCCAGGACCACAATTTGAGAACTACTGCCTTAAAACAACCCCTTAAAGGTTTGAAACGGACATTGTGGCCTCTTTGGAGGAAATCAAAGAAGTATCCTTCTGGGCCTTTGCCAGCCAGGGGTGTCTGCAGTTTTTTCACCCACCCTGTGACTTTCAGGAGAGGCTTAATTTTCATTTTTGGTGGTACCAGCGCGTCCTTCTCACCTCCCAAGAGGCACGGTTTTGAAATGAATTAGAGTTTCTGTGAAGAGCTACAGAAAGCTATTGCTGCCCTGTTGACATTTCATTTTCCGTTTTTTGAAATACCAAAGAAATTTGATAACTTGGCAAGCGTGGGTGTTACAGTCTATTCAAAACAAATCAAGAAGTCTAACCTTTGCCCCCACTACCTGGCTCTAAAGATTCTCTTTCTGCCACAACTCTCACTTTCCCATTCTCTTGAATAATTTTTAAGCACTTTGATTTAAAGAGGGAGCTTGGAGTAAAAGAAGGGTCAAGAGGTTAAGTTCAGTTTCATTTAATTCTGCATTTATGATTGCACCAGGCTTTTTCTCAGTATACCTTTTGGAGTGAGAACCCATTATTGGTAGCTGTTCATTTTACTTATCTATAAAGGGTTATGCAGGTCAGAGAGGTATCATTCGCCTCTTCTTTTAGTAACAGTCAACAATGGCTGTTAGCTGATTAAATTGCAGGCACCTTCAAGGAAAGATTGGAAACAGATTGGGAAAGGTTCTGCATCCTCCCCAGTAAGAGGGCAGCATTTATTGGGTCAGTCAGTTCAGCATGCTCAGTATCTCCTCTCTTGTCCAGGCTACACAATCAAACAGTTAAAAACAGATGTGCACTTGGGCAGAATTCTCAGTGACCTCCAGCTGTCTCCAGGTTTGTTGCTGGCTAGCAGGGAGGGATGCAGAAAGCATTTTGCAAATGTAGTGGACATGGAGCAGGTTTTTAAAAGTGGGGAGCTGGCAAGAGGCTGGGTTCTGCACCCTTTTAGAAATTTGAAGAGCCATCTGTGAAGAAGCTGCAGGAGCATTCGGTTCAGGTGTGGCCTCTTCCTTTATCTCTCTCACCTGCGCCAGCTCCGCAAAATGACTGCCTTAACCACCCTGTCCCTGCAGCCTCAATAAATCCACAGCACAGCCTAAGTTGGGGGCGGGGGCTTGCTTTTACCTATTTGAACTAGAAGAACAACTTAACCCTCTTGCATGATGTTTCATTCAGAAGTAGAATTGATTCTAGAATATTGGGTGATGTTCTAGAAATCCATCTGACCAAAAATTCAACTTGACACTAAGAAATTGGTGAGGGCTTACTGGGTTAAGAATAGTTAATACAAAACAAAACCAAAAACCTGTGCCTTAAGCTATTCTGCCAGCCATCTTAAAGTCATCTGAATTGGTGGGTTGCATGTCATCTGTTATGCCTTATTTATAGGAAGGACCTTCATTTGCTTCCTCTTTGATGGTATTATGGGAGAATATATATGTATTCTGTTGATTTCCATCTCAGCATCAGAAAATATTTACTGAATGTTCATGCCGTGTATGCTGTTGTAGAAGATGGAAAAGCACTATTAAAAGCAGTGTGGTCTGAAGTCTTTCTGGAAGGTACTTGTTAAAAATACAAATTACTACCTTTCCTTCCAAAACCAGAATACCTAAAGTGGGGCCAGTGATCTGTGGTTTTGTTTTGTTTGCTTTGTTTTATTTTGTTTTGTAAAGTCTCCCTGTGATTCTTAAGTGCATAAAATAAATAAGTGAGTAAGAGCCACTGATTTAAAGGACAGATATCACGTGAGTAGTTTCCCCACATAAGATCTGTGGATTGGAGACCTAGCTAAATCTCTTATTAGCACAAGGAAGGAGCTGCCCCACTCTGGTTTCAGTCAACAGGCCTGAAAAAGGGGCCCTGGAATTCTTGGTACAGAAGCAGTGCATTCCCCAAAAGATCAGGAACTACAGCTGAGCGAATAGACAGAAATATAAGCCACGTGTACTACTTGCCAGAGATGTCTGCTGGTAGCTGAATCTGCTTTTAACACTACTTTTAATTCCCTCAGAGCTTTAGCTATTTCTCTTATGTAGAGAATACCAGCACCTGTTTGCTGGTGACTCGTACAAAATGTGAGGATAGGGTTGCTCATTAGCAAGAACTTACTGAACGTAGACTAGATGCTCAGCACTGAGTGAAAATAATTGTTTTCTGGAAAAATAGTTATAAATGCTTTACTTCTATAAAAGTCTGTCTTCCACATACATGTTGAAAACTACCTCCCAACCTCCTTCATGAAAAATACTGTCAATGAATGACCAGTTCTTTTTCTCATTGCTTTCTTTTTTTAAAAAAATTGAAATATAGCTGATTTACAATGTTGTGATTGTTTCTGGTGTACAGCATAGTGATTCAGTTATACATGTATATACACACACACACTATTCCATATTCCATCTTCATTATAGGTTATTACAAGCTATTAAATGTAGTTCCTGTGCTAGGCAGTAGGACCTTGTTGTTTATTTTGTCTATAATAGTTTGTATCTGCTAATCCCAAACTCCTAATTTACCTCTTCCCTCTTTTCCCCCAGTAACCATGCTTCTTTTCTGTGTCTAAGTTTCTGTTTTATAAATGAGTCCACTTGTATCATTTTTGTTTTTACATTCCACATATAAGTGATACCATACGGTATTTGTCTGACTGACTTCACTTAGTATGATAACCTCTAGGTCCCTCCGTGTTTCTGCAGATGGCATTAGTTCATGGTTTCTTACCACTGAGTAGTATGCCATTGTGTGTGTGTATATATATCACAACTTTTTTTTTGAGCATTGAATATACAGATTTTTATTGAACTATAGTCAATTTACAACGTTGTGTCAGTTTCTGGTGTACAGCATAATGCTTCAGTCATACCTGAACATACATAAATTCATTTTCATATTCTTTTTCACTGTAAATTACTACAAGATATTTAATATAGTTCCGTGGGCTATACAGTATGAACTTGTTTATCTAGTTTATATATATTAGTTAGTGTCTGCAAATTTCAAACTCCCAATTTATCCCTTCCCACCCCTCCTCCCTCCCAACCCCATAACCATATACAATGTAGTATTGTAAACTATAGTCACCATGCTGTGCATTACATCCCCAGATGGTACTTATCTTATAACTGAAAGTTTATACCTTTTGACCCCCTCCACCCATTTCACTGACAATACCCCCTACCCCTGCCTGGTCCCTGGCAACCATCAATCTATTTTCCTTATGTATGATTTTCTCTTTTCGATGCCACATATAGGTGAGATTATATAGTTATTTATCTTTCTTTGTCTGACATTTCACTTATCATAATACTTCCAAGTTTCATCCATGTTGTTGCAAATGGCAGAATTTCCTTCCTTTTTATGGCTGAATAATGTTTCATTGTGTGTGTGTGTATATGTGTGTATATATATATGCAGTTATATAAACAATATACATTCAGTAGACACTTAGGTTATTTCCATGTCTTATCTATTGTCAGTAAGGCTGCAATGAACATTAGATGCATATATCTTTTTGAAATAATGATTTTTGTTTCCTTTGGATAAATACCCAGAAGTGATTTCTTGATCATACAGTAGTTTTATTTTTAATTTTGAAGAATCTTCATTCTGTTTTCCCTAGTAGTTGCACCATTTTATATTTACACCACTAGTGCACAACGGTTTCCTTTTCCTTCTTTTTTTTCCATCTTCATGAATGATCAGAACATTATTTTATTCCTGTCACATTTTTATTTAAAATTCATGTATTTCAAGTAATTTTTTCTAATTCTATAGAAGTGCATTTTGTTACTGTGCAAAATGACTACTAATCAAAAGAATGTTATGAAATAGCATGAGTCTTTACTAGATCATTGTATCATTTTTTCTTTTCTTTTCTTGGATAAATTTGACATGTAACGTCTAGATTTAGGGTACACATCATGTTACTTTGGTACCTTTATATAGTAATATGGTTGCTGTTGTAACAAT